GCTCGGCTTTCTTGGCTGGCTTGCCATTCCCCTTGCCCTTCGCTTTCCCTGCGCTTTGCACACGAACATCTCTGGTGATCTCTAGTGCGAGCTGGCAAGAAGACAACGTTAGCAACAGGTGCTCGGCGTAGCACCTTTGCCTTTGCCCTTCTGAGGGCTCTCCGTGGATTTCTCCGTGGACTTGTCTTTGCGCTTGCCCTTGGAAGCCTCCTTGCCTTTTGCACCCTTGCCGGATGATTTGCCAGGACCTTTTCCTTTTCCACGCTGCTTCGATTTGCCCTTTGCTTTGACAACCCTTGGCTATGCGATGTCGTGATTACAGGGTTGCAGGACACTGATGCTTGCTACAAAGCCTGAGCAGCCTGGAGACCATTTGCCCTGACTGCTTACGTGATGCGATGTACTGCATTTGCCAAGGCTCGGCAGCTCATCCTCCTCTTCCAGCTCAACTTCCACCTTAGGCTTCGAATGCATTAGTCACACACATACCAAACCACGTTCAGATGCGTTCAGGCAACACAAGAGGAGGCACGGCACACCAAGTCCTGCCTCAACGTCATCCGCATCATCCATAGCATCAGGCATGTTCACGTCGCCTGGTTCGCAGTGTGCAACAATGCCACAAGTTGTTTCGGATAGTTATCTTTCATGCCTATCATGCATGACAATCTGTGACTTTCCAGTGTCCACGAAACTGGCTGCAGGGGGTGGGGTCTGGTCTTCCGGGTGCTGAAGATTGATTTGCAGATTTCCACACATCCCACGAAAAATGTTAAACATCCCAGCAGATTTGGCCTCCAAAATGCTCCTCCTCCTCCTCCCCTTCTGCTTCTTCTTCTACGGGCCCTCTCCCCCTCTATCCCCTCTCCATGATTGGTTTTTGTTTCTGCTATTACTGAATGCTTCTAGCATCGTCACAGGTGTCTTTGCACTTTGCACAATGCGAACGCGATGCCAACATGAAAACCAAATTGAACAATTGCTGCCATGCAGCTCGCACCTGTGCGCTTTCCGAATGCCTTGCCATTCGGCTTGGAACCTTCCCACAATACAAGAACCAAAATACAAGCTGCCAAAGTGGGAGGGTGCTGCAGAGCGCTGACTCTTGCCTCCTGGCTTTGAAGGCTTGGAAGCTGGATCGTTTTTCTGCTCGTCTTCACCTCGCATCTGAACTGCAAGGCTTGGTGGGGACTGGATGCGCAGGATGTCTTGCCTTCGGCTGGCAGATCGTCAACAGGCACATCGTCACTGATGTCTGGAAAGTCAACATCCCCTGAGCCGAGCTCCTGGTCAATCATACATTCTAATCATGCACTGTTTGCCACAACCTGGTGATCACAATGCAGCAAAACCTATATCTTGTTCAGTCTCCTCTCCGTTCTCCTGTACCTCCTTGTCCGCTGCTAGTTCGGCCTCGTCCCTGAACAAAGAACACGAGTGTAGGTGTCAGACAAAATTTGGCTGCACTAGAATCGTCTCACCCAAGGCTGTCAAGCCAAGGCACTCTTTCAAAAGGCTCTCGAGCGCCTGCACACTGTGCCAGCACATTTCTAGAAAGGACTCCGCACTGGCGGTTCAAGAGCTGAACCTGCTATCAAACTGTCAAAGTTTGCCAAACGTTTTGGTGGCATCTACAAAAGCAGCGACAGAAGCTTGTGCCCTGGCATTTCCAAATCCTTCTCTGCCAGGGGGTCTTTACAAACACGTTCTTTGCAAGCGTCTTTACAAAAAAAGCATCATCTGCAAACCAGGAACAGCGAGCGCAGCATCGCCGTCATCGGCATCCACACGTGATGTGCCTGCCAGGGCCACTGCACACTGCATTGCAGTGACATGATTCAGCCTACCTGCCTGCCGACCTGCAGGGCATAATTGCGAAAGCTCCCTTCCTTGGTCCCTGCTGTTCTGACACGCTTTCTCTGACTGATGCATATGTTTGCGTGAACCTTCCATGCTTTAAAGAACAATGGGAAACAGTTTCTCGCACAAACCCGCCATGAGCATGTGTATATGTATGTTATGTATGCGTGATAGTATGTTTTGTATATGACTGGATTGAAGTCCTGCAAAACCGACTACTCCCTGTGGAAGAAATGCACACCCAAATTGCCAATGCTTCCTCTAATTACAAGCCTGCGGCCTGCTTGGTGCTTCAATGGTGCTCCCAGCAGCTTGAAAGCTCCCCCTCGTGAGCCGAACGCTCCATCCTCCGCAACGAAAATCCGTGAGTTTTGTGCCTGTTTCAAACATGGAATCCCTTACTTGTGGACATCCTGGCACGGAAAAAAAACGATCGGGTCATCGCAGTCTATGGTTTTCACGTCTGGGGGGGGGTATAGTAGTAGTAGTAGTA